TTTTATAGAGAAGTAGAAACCTGTTCTGTGGCTATAAATCCAACAGGAATGTCAAGAGCCTGAGCTTTGTTTTACTGTGTAACCTTTTGTCTTAGTCTGTGACCCTGGAATAAAGATTTTTAAAAAGTGAGGAAGTTGTTTTTCTTTCTAATTCATCCTAGAAATAAAATGCCCCTACAAAATACATAGAAACCTTCTTGCCACCATTATCAGTGTTCACACTTGGAACACCCAGGATCAGCTTTTGGAGTCCCATCACTGACACTATGCTGCTTTCCCCTCCCAGGGCCAGGCTGCCCTCCAAGCACTGGTCAGGCTCAGCCTCAGCCCTTCCACTGGGCTCTGGGATGGCTACAGGTAAATCACAGCTCTGAGATGTTAACTACATCCTGTTAGACTCCCCCTAATTAGACAGGCTTCCTTTTAGACAGGCAATGGCAAAACTTCATTAGGGCAGCCCAAGGAAGCTACAGAAGAAAGCTATAGGAAGCTAGAGTAGAAAAAGTTATATACTGCCTTAGTTAAAAAAAAAAATGATCAAGTTAGAACAAGTTTTAGCCAGGCACAGCACCATTGTTTGAAGCCTCTCTGGGATTTTTTTGTTTAGGATGACAGATTTCAGCAGCTTTCACTGTGGAGGTTGCTGGGCCTTGGTTATCAAAGATTTTGCAGCTTTTCTTTTTTTTTTTTGCAGAGAAATGTAACTCCCAGGTATTCATCTACCTTTGCTTTTCAGCAGTTCAGTTTTTACACTTGTTTTAAAAAAACACAGAAACCCCATAAAAATAAAAACTCAAACAAAAACCAACCAGTGTTTGCTGCCAGCCTCTGTCCCAGAGCTGTAAACAGCACAGATACCTGTTTGATAAAGTTTTGGAGGCTTCACAACACAATCCCAAGTGCTGCAAACCTGAGGAGTGTGGGATAAGCAATGCTGACTGGCCTTGAGGAAAAGAAAGAAACCCACAGCATGACAAGATCAAAAATAATATTGAGATACCATTTCTGAGTAAGTGTTTATAGTGCCTGTAACATCACAGTAAGATAAACATACCCTTAATATGTTACAAAATTATTTTAAAAGCCAGCAGGAGCACAAATCCAGGTTGGCACCACACTCAGCTCACAAAGACACACATTCCTGGCTTTGACAGGCTGGAAATGCTGCTGGTTACACCAGGCACAAGCATTTCTCCAGGCTAGTCCAATAGCAGCAATAAAGGATCACTCTTAATCACTTAGAGCAACTCTTCTTTCCACTGCAATCAAAATGCCCTTTCCCCAACTGAAGGGCAGAGCAGCAGAAGTGCACCCTGTCTTCTCAAAGGCTGGGCTGGGTGTCAAACCATCCCCAGCAGCACCCAACTCACCCTGCTTGCCAGAGGAAAACACTTGTAAATCACTGTAACAAAATATTTTAAAATATTGCTTCCCACTGAGAGGAATGAACCCCAATGAAACATACAGAAGAGCTTTTACTTTTGAAAAAGACCACAAAATAAGAAGGTAAATCATCAGGAAATGATGGAGATGGCATCAATAAAGGTTTTTTAGGATGGATATTTCTGCCAGCTGGGCTGGTGACAGCAGTGAAAAATAAATGCTGCTTAGACATCCATTTCAAATTGGAAAGAGAAAAAAAAACCCAACCTTTGCTATGAAAGCTAAGTGCAAGACTGGGTTTGCATTATATTAACAATGTAAAGTAGACACCAAGAGAATTTAAAGCAACCGAGCCTGTTTTTTCTAGACATATAAAACACTGATTTCATACAAGTCACAACCACATCACTTAAAGCAGTACTTTTATGCTGGTATTGCTTAGTAGCTTTGTTGTGGAAGAAAACAAAGAAACCACCCAGATCCATTTTCGCCCTTAAATCATAATATATGGAAATGAGTGTAATTTATGCCTTCAAGACAAGTTATCTGGACCAGCATGTCTGGCAAATCATTGTTCAAATCAAGCTTTGTTGAGGAGATCTGGATGTGTGGATGAGGGTCAGGACATGCAACATCAGCTCAGAAACACTGCTGAGCCTGAACAGAAGCAGTGAGAGGTCTCCCACCCATTTTCATCAACTTCTAAAGCCTTCGGGGCTGTAGCTCATTTTTGTGAGGGAGTGATGAAAAACTTCTCAGAATCTCAATATGTTGTCTTGCTTTGCCTCTTTTTCATGCTGACCTAGATTTTTCTAAACACAACAGGAGTTGACTGAGCCAGACTTTGGAAATACCCAAGTGTTGGGTTAATTGAGGATAGTTAATTTGCTCTGGGGCTGGGCAGCTGGGCCCCTGCAGAGCAATAGTGCCCTGGTGAAGCTGGGGGAATGGCCTCCCTGGTCACTGCCACCGAGTCTGCAGTGAATTTGACCACTGTAAGACCCTTGAGGTCCCACTGTCTGATGGTTGTGGACATTCTGGTACATCTCTGTATGCAAGAGCTACATGAACAGTTCAAGAAATTACCATTGCTTGTTGAAAGCAAAAGAAACAAAATCTCTCAGTATTTCCTTTACTCCTGCTCCTCAGAGGAGCAGTAATACTATGGCACAATCCATGTGCTGTACTAGACCCTAGACAGCCCTTGCAACTCCAAACATACCTACAGCAAATGCATGAGGGGAAGGAGGGGAGAGGAGGAAAAAGAGGTGTAAGGAACATTATTGTATCATTTATCAGTGTTCTTCAAGACCATTTTCACAAAGGAAAACCACTCAGGTGCCCTTTGTGGGAACACACAGGGTGACCAATTTACTGAGTTTAGCAATTACACAATTTAAAATGTCCTTGTAAAGACAATTCTAGGCCTTTTATCAAAAGGAAAGCCACATCCTTCTCCAGAATTTCAGAAGTGTGAAGGACAGGGATTTTCACAGTTGTAATCTGGCCCTGCATCCCCCCCACACCAGTAAATCAGAAGCAGATCAGAGTGCCTGCATTTAAAGGAGCTTTCAGACATCAACAGCACAGGACAAGCCCTGGTACCCTTTGTGTGGATGCACTCAGATATGACTGATCTGGCTTTGTCCTGAAGGACTCCTCATTTCTTCAGACTGACAGGCTGTATGGGCTGAGCTGTGTGGGATGTTGATCATTATGGACGTACTTCAAAACTTTCATATTTTATTAGAATATTTTCCAAATACTGCCACCACGTTTTGCTGCAGGTTTTTTTTTAAAAAAGTGCTTTTGAACAATGGGAAATTCATCAGCTCAGGAGAGCACAACATACTGAAGGATTCCTCCTCCTTTGAGACGTAGTGAAAGTTTGGGAACACATGACAGCAAAGAGTTGTAACAGAAGAAAACTCTACAAACTTCAACACCTTATACATGGCTGACTGCTTACAGTTAAATAAACTGCAGAGAAAGTGACCATCCAATAAATGACTGGAGGGAATTACAGCCCAACCCCAGAGAGTTGCAGTTTACTTTTCCATTGAGTAAACCACATGTCTATGTTTGGGTCTAGCAAAAATTTAACAATTACATGTCAAATGCACTTACTGCATTGTGGGATGGGGAGTTTGTGAATCTCCCAGAAGCAGTAGGCCAGAAGGCAAGGTGCTGCCTGTGAGGACATGCATGGGGAGATGAACTGCTCCTGATGCTGCAAAAACATGCACTGGCAGGGATTTAGATGTTAATCCCCTGTTAACAGGACCTGGCTGAAAAAATTAAAGAATCGTGTGTGGGAAGAGATTTTGCTTCAATTTAGGATGCACCTTGTTCGGATCAATCCTGGGGAGAAGTTGTGCTGTGCCCCTGACAAGCAGTGTGTGCCTAGGACAGCTCCCAAAGTGGTTTAGCTCCAGTGGAACTGCCTGGGTCATCTTGTGCCTCTGGAGACAAGGAACTGGTAAATCACACTGGTAAATCACACTGGTAAATCACACTGGCAAATCACACTGGTAAATCACACTGGTAAATCACACTGGCAAATCACACTGGTAAATCACACTGGTAAATCACCGGTTCCCCAAGGTTTGTGATGATTGCCATGAGAATCTCTGAGAGCTGACTCAGCTGATCTCATGGACTTCTCTCTCCTGAGCCCAGCCCAGGACACACAGCACCCCCATGGTCCCCACTGCCCAGGAGCACAGCCAGCCCAGCCCAGGGCGAGGAACAGCACCTCCTCCCATGGCAGTGAGGAGAGGCCCTGCTGGGCTTCCACTTGCTGGGGAGCAGGCCAGCAGCCTCCCCTGCCACTCCACAGGGCCCCTGCAGCCATCCTGCCCAGCTGCACTCTCTTCCCTGGCAGCTCAGAGCTCCCCCTCGCATGAATTATGTGGATTTTTAGCCAGTGTCAATGACAGAGATAAGAAAAATATTAACTCTGATTTCTTGAAGTGAACTCCTATCAGTATCACACAAGAGAATGACAAATCTTTCATTGCTGGTTGTAGCAGAATTTTAATTATTTTTCAAATAAATACAATGCTTAGATTTATATTTTGCTGATATAACCATTAGTGAAATTTTTACATAATCATTAAAGTTATTTTTCAAGGTACATAAGAACACTCTATATAAAAATAATTCTTTAAATAAAACATTCAAAACCACATTTTTAGGTTTTTGAAATGCCATAGATCTTATTATATTTTATAATTCAAAAAAGAAAAGGTTAGCAGCACAGGTATTTCATTATTCTTTCCAAGCATACATTCATTTAAATGTCTCATTTTTGAGGGTTTTTCCCCTTGGAAGATCATAATTTTATCATTTAAGCCAATGAGACTTCAATCAAGGCAATATAGAATGAAAAACACCTCTGGTATTATTATATTCACATATAAGTGTTTATTACTGAAGAGTAATTTAGACTTTAAAGTATGTTTATAATTAAAACAATGAAAATAAAACCAAACTGCAAATATCATGTTTGACATTTAAAGCACCTTCTGGACATCACCTTCTTTCTCCCCCACTGCAAACACAGTCCAAAATCATACAGTGATTTCAAGTGTATTGATTTTTGGTTGCTCTATATGCTACATCTGCTTGCCCCCGGTTTGTGAAGACTTGCTAAATGCAGTTCCTGCTGATTAGGAAAGAAGTCATTAATGCTCTGAGCTTCTAAAACAATAACATCCAGGAAAATACAAAATTTTAAATCAAATATCTGGACAGCAGAACCTGTTGGCCACTACTGAGAACTTTGGTTATAAAACTCCATTTTCTTCTCATGGAGGTACCTGAGACATCCTCAGAATTTCCTGAGACTTTTGCCAAAAAACACAAGAGGCTAATTAGACCCTTATCGATAGCGGGTTTTCATCCCAAATCTGCTCGTTGATAAGAGGTTCATTTCTTGTTCCAATGGAAGTAGCAAGTATGTAATATGGACTCTGTCATCTATTTCCATACAGATTTCTTAAACTCTTCTGACATTGGAGAAAGGAGTTGTGTCTGACAGGACACAGCTGTGATTTACAGGACCAAGGCCTATATCCATCATTGGGGATGGCCAGGAGGGAACAAAACTAACCATTGGGGCATCAGTAATTTTTACTTCCATGTGCAAACCAACATAGTCCTTCCAAAAAGAGACCAAATCTGTCAACTTCTATTTTTTGTCCACCATTAGTCAGACTCTGTGCTCCTGCTCCTTTTTGAACCACAACAAGAAGGAGCAAACACATTATGTCCCAGAAAAAGAATACTGAAGAGACAGCCAAAATGCTGTCCTTCTGATCCCATCTGGCCTGTGTAAGCTACAGAGGGAGATGGATCATGGAACCACAGAATAGTCTGGCTTGGAAGGGACCCCAAAGACCATTTAGTTCCAACCTCCCTGTCGTGCAGTTCTGTTCAGTAGACAAGGCTGCTCAAAGCCAACATGACCTTGAACCCTGCCAGGGATGGGGCATCCATAACTTTTCTGGGCAACCTGTGTCAGTGCTTCACCACCCTCACTGTAAAGCATTTCTTCCTAATACCTAATATAAATCTTTCCTCTTTCACTTTAAAGCCATTGCCCCAGATCCCATGCAGCTTTTCTGTAGGCCCCTTTTAGGTACTGGAAGGTTCTATAGAGTCCTTCCAGAGGTGAAGTTAAATTCTGCCCAAATGAAAAGTGATAACTTTGTTGTGTGCACATTCAGAAGAGGGCCTGAACTTCTCTTACATTTCTTGCCATCCCACTCAGTTATATTATTAGTTGGTCTCTGCCTGTAGTGATAAAAATGGTATTTAGGTCAATGTGTTCTTTGTTAATTGCATTAGCCACGTCCCTAAGACTTAGGCTTCCTCTTCTCTCAGCACTGCCTTTGGCTATAAACATGTGGTCTTTAAATATATGTCACTATTAACAGTGTGCTTAATCTGTCAGGTGAGATGGATAGAGTCTGTTTTAGACAGACTAAGATAATCAGCGGAATGCTAATTACAAAATTCACCTGGATAGCAAGACCCCTTTTTTATATAGAAACACAAGCCAGTTTATATGCTACTTTTTATACTGAGTCTTCAAAAGCAGAGGCAAGAAATACATTTGTGTTCTGTTTATGAGCTCTAATCATACTCAATACTTTTCTTTCAATGTCTGCAAAATATTTTGGAATTTTATTTTGCAAATAGGATCATTTTCCCTTGGGAAAAATTTAATATTATATTGGCTTTTATCTTCCAAGGGTTTTTCTATCTGTGTTTAAATCACCTTCTATTAATTTTTCCTCATGTGGTAGCAAAGATCAGAACAGAAGTGTGTTCAACCCCACACACGTGTATACATATCCTGAAGCAGATTTAATGAACAGAAAACTGTTTCTGCCTTGGAAACAGAAAATTTCTGTACTTGTAGTGTGGCTAAGCCCAGCAGAAGGAGCTGCATTACTTTAACAAGGGGCATCAAAATCAAAAGACCTTTGAGAGGTCTATATTCTGATATAAAGAGAAATGCCTTCTCCTTGTTTGTTTACAGAATATCATTGGATTCTATGAACTAGCTAAAACCCAGGCAGCCAGCTGACAATGAACTGAGGAATTCCAAACCAGCAGAGACTAAGAGCTTCCCTTAGCTAAACTAAAGTTTTGAGTTTAACTTGTTTTTCTCCCCAAAGATATTTACTACATTTTGAGCAGGAAATAAATAACCTGAAACTATTTGCTAACTGTTCAGCTTTGAAAGATAATATTTGTTGTGAAAGCCTGGAGCCTGGGGCTCTGTGGAATCCTTGTCAGAGGCCCTGGTGCCCCCTCACCGCGCTGTGCCCGTCACCGCTCGGTCCAGGCAGTTGTGGGGTAGCGTTCCAAGAGGGCATTCCTCAGCTGGGCTGTGTGGATCTTGTCTCTGGTCTCCACAGTGCAGATGACCTGGAAAAAGAATTAGGACCATTCCAGATGGCATGGCAGCAAGCTCAGACAAAGTAATTTCCAACTTAATCCTAAAATATCAGGTATTTTTATCAGTCCTAAATAAAAACTCTGGCCGTCACATCTGCTATCTATGCAGGTAAGAAAACTGACATTGCAGACATCTGGGGCTCTTCCAGCCCATCTGCATGGCCATAAAACCTTCCAAAAACCCTACTTTATTGCCTTCAAAGTTTAAACAAGACAGGCTGATCCTCTTCTGGCTCCTGGGCAAGGTACCTCTCTGCTCTTGGCCTCCCTGAAGACATCTGTTAGTAGCTTCTCTTTTCCCTTCCCTGGGGTATGTACGTGGCATTGCTGCCACTTCACCCGCCTCTGACTCTTACCTCACCACATTTCTGTATTTCTAGCAAGTCCTTGTTCCAGAACCTCCATTCTTCAAGCTTTTTATATTCTCCTTCTCTTGTCTGTCATGGAGTTATGCCCAGTTCTTTATCAACTCTGCAGTATTTTGGCTGGTTTCACTTCTCACACACCTTCTTGCTTCATTCTGGCTTTTGTTTACTTATTGCATCACTACTAGTTTTCTTTTATGGTTGTTCTGCTGCTAAATAAAACAGCTTGGGCAAAACAAATCTTGATAGTTTTTTTGAATTCTTCACTTGCCTCCATAGGTACAATTGAAATCCTGTCATGTAGCCATTAAAGATAATAACTTCAATGGCATTTTTTCAATTTTTCTATAATCTCTGTTTTTGTGCACTCACATCTCTGCTCCAACACTTGAAAGACTGGGTACTAGAAAAGATGAGGCACCAATCTAAAGGTGCAGAAGGAAAATTATGCTTCACAATTTGAGACTCCTAACTTCCATTACTGCTAGTCCTGCTGGAATAATCACTGGCGTTGCAAGTGCCACACGGAAACAAGGCCTCACAGAAACATGGCAATCTAGCAAGGAAAGGACCCAAGATGAGTCACAGTGCAACTACAGAGAGTTCACAGTAACAGGGAAATCTACAGAGAGCAGAGAAACAACGAGCCATGATAACCTGATGGTGGACTGCTCCAGACATGCCCTGTCAAAATATTCCTATCAGAGCTGCATCCCTTTTAGAAAGTAACAAGACAAAAAATACTCTAATTTATTTACAAGGACATTTCTAAATAAGACCTTTGAATTCATGTTTTCTGGAACTGTCATAAAATAACAATAAACCTTTAGCAAAGCTGTTTAATGAAAATATAAAACACTAACACTCCAAGTTAATCTGAATAGCCATAGTTCACTTAGAAAACTGGCTACAGCTTCTCAATATCCATTATGAAATAAGCCACAGATCTGATCTGGTCTTGTAATTCTTTACCTCTTGTGCTGCACATAATTCTATTTGTTGGTCCTTTGGGATGCAAATTAGATGCTAATTTCTTTCTTCTTCAAAAAAGTGGGATTTAATCTCAAGAGAAGGACAGCCATAGAGGGCAAGTGATAATGAGGAAAGGGGAGAGAGCAGAGTGATTGGGAAAAGTACCTGAGAGCTCCAATGTACCAAACACCCATTATCCATTCCCTGGTTCATATAAAACCCCTAAAGATTTGCAATCATATCTTCAAGGGGACACGGGTGTCTCACATGGAGTCTGTAATTAAAAAAAGCAAGATTTTCCCTCTTCCATAGTAATCATGCCTGTTTTGTCCTGAGTAAATCAATTGCTGCCCTTGGAACTAGTCTGGATGTGACAGATTCAGCCTTGAATATCGGGCAGCAAGCCATTGCTCTGCCCTGGGAGCAAGCATGGGGAAGCATTTTGATTTCTGGCTATTTATCCTCTCTGCCCTTTCCTTCCTGCTCATGATAGAAACCAGGCAGATCTCACTAGACTGGAGCCAGAGAGCTCATGAACAGGTTGGATAACACTGTCATTTTCTTCTAAGCATGCACCACAACCAGCAGCTGATACTGGAGATATTATGCTGTAGTGTATTATAAAAGTAGTAACAGCAACAGCAGCAATAGCAAACAACTCCAGAAATTCACCTGACTTTTCACAGTTGTCAAAGAGAGGAATAGAGAACATTTGGTCACAGCAGTAGTGAAGAGAGAATAACACAACACCTCAGGGCAGCTGCAGATCCCAGCAGCAGGGAAGGCAAGAATTTAGTTTCTTGCTTAGATTAAGCCAATTTTTAACTGCAGTTTTACTTTCACAAACTGCTCTCTCTTGCTTGCTTCACCTGGGACACATAATTTTCATGAGAGATGCTCTGTTGCTCCAACAGAGCAACCCTCACATTCATGGGGAAGTTTATGAGGTTGTATTTTATGTGGGATGCAGAAGCACCCCAGCATCACTCGCTGGAGGAGGTTGCACACTTACCAGTGACCTAAGAATAAATGCCCCAAAATGGTCTTATTTAAGAATAAATAACATAACCTATTGCCTGATCTTTCTTGTATATCAAACAAGGTAACTTGTGAGGACTAGAGAAAAATTTACTTTAAACTTATTTCATACTGGTAAGCCCTCAGAGCCATCATGGGATTTTTGAATCTTCAGAGCTCTTACTGGCTGTGGGGCCAGCTGTGCACAGCACACCTTGCTTTTCTTTGTATCAAAAACCCCACAAAACCACCAACAACTGAGTGCATTTTATTAATTTCTCTCCTACACACCATATATTTGCTGGATTAAACAAACAAACAAACAAACAAACAAACAAATAATTGTCTGGTCCAGTAAAACCATTAAAATAACCAGCCAGATAGATCTTTCACAGCATGTAAAGTTCCATTCCCTGTGAACAGGTAATCTAAAGACACATTTCAGCCTAAAGGTTTAGTCAGCCTCTAAGTTTTTTTTCAGAGCAGGCCTACAATTAAAGACAGAAGAGATTTCACTAAATATTGATGGATTGTGGATTTTATTTAATGACTGGAAATAACTGAGGGAGCAGGACAAAGGCTAAAAAAAAATTAAAGGAAAAATTGATTGCAAGCTATTGCTGTGCAACACCAAAATCCAGATGCATAAATCCAAATATTCTTAGGAATTACACTGATTTCAAAGAGAGGAAATGTCATAACTTCACAAAAGGAAGAAATTTACAAAGTTCTGTGCTGAATAGGGTGGGCACCTCTACTCCATTTTCATTTCAAGTTCTCTTAATGGAGGCACTTCACTTTTTAGATCATATTTTCCTAGATTTTAAAAATTAATATTGCATGCCTCTCAGCTCCCTGATGCCTACTATCTGTAGGTTGTGTGTGCAAATAAAAGTAGTGGGTGGACATGCTGAGCCAGTGTTAGAGAGCAGAGGAGATGTGAGTAGTACTCACTGAATCAAGAGATTTCAGTCCTTTGTGCTTTTCCAGGCTCCGTGTAAAGCTAATTCTGAAGTAACTAGTGCAGTTCTTTATGTCTGTGAACTATCCATTGAACCTTTGTATCCTTATTCTTTAATTCTAGAAATCATATTCATCATCTTAAACTGTTGTTGCTGGATTTGCATAATTTTGTGTTCATGATACACCACATTTACTAACATTTTAAGTTTGTTTGCATGAAAGTCATTGGAGATAAGAGTGAAAACTTTATTTATATACACTTGTTTCAGTTATATTTTTAGAATACGGGGTTTCTTTTAAAAAAATCTGCAACTGGGCAATTTTCTGAATTATTCAGTAAACACCCAGGACAGATTACTTCACATTACAGATTATTTGGTAACAGCAGCTCAGCTGATGGTTTGGGGATCAGCTGTCAGATTGTCCCCAAGGTCAGAGCAATGGAATGCTTGAGAAAGAGTACATCAGCTGTCAGCTGGTTGTGCAACCTGAGCCCTTATCTTTTGGCAATTGGTGCATTTAGGTCGGTGAGCACGAGCAGGAACAAGCTACACTTTACATAAGGCAGGTAATAACCCAGCAGGAACACTCAGACCCTCATTCTCCTGCTGGGCCAGGCTGCTCTGCACCACAGGCTGCTGTGGAATGCCATTAAAGAGCATGACCAAATTCTCCTGGAGGGCCTCAGAAGAAAAGGAGTGTCGAACTTCCCACTCTCAGTGTCTCCACTTTGCAGCTGGGAAATGGAACATGGAAACACAGCCTTGCCCACGGTCCTGCAGGAAATGCTTTGGGAATGATAGCATCCTTCTGCACATCTTGGCTGTACAGCTGCCTGCCCCTGTGTATTTGTTTCACAGGGCAAAAATGGAATATGTTGGCAACTGGGGACTCTAATCCAAAATATTCCCTTCCAGCCTTTACAAAATACAAGTTGGCCCAAACAAATTATTCAAATTAACCAGAGTAGACTAAAATAATTTATTGAGTTCTGGCCTGAGGTGAATGAACTGTATGAGAAAAAAAAGGTATTACACCACACAAAGCCAGGAATTCCAGCACCACTGGGAGAATGTGTAATGTTACTGAAAAGAAAAGGAAATAATTGGTTTATGATCTAGCATTTTCGGGCACAAACAAGAAGGAGAAGTAATATGGTGGGTGTTCTTTTTACAGCTGGGCTCTTCCAAGTTTTTTTAAAAAAAACAACTTTCAGCATAGGGCAGCTGAAGAGGTCTGAACAGAGCAGATAACCCATAATGTCAGACAGGAGTGAGCTCAGAGGGAGCACTGCCACCTGCTGAAAAGCTGCTGGGGCAGTTCAAGACCTTACAGACCCCTCCTGGAGACCCCCTGCCACTTTGATTATGCTGTAGATTCAGTGGTGAGAAGACTTTTATAGAAAACTGATGAGCTCAAAAAAAAATTTTTTTTTTTACTAGATTACCTGAGTCCAAAAATTAGACCCTTATAAAGCAGGCAAGGTGCTGATCTACTTCATAGCAAAGAATGACCTTACTTTATTAAGCTGCTTATTGATTTTGCTCATTGACTTTTCACTGAGCCAATAGTAATATGAAATTAAAGAGATTTAAATGGTTTTAAAGAGATTTACAGATGGAAGCAGTTTAAGTGAAAAATTGTCCCAATTGAATCTGAGGAATATTACTGATGGAGAGCAGAGAGAGTTCACAGAAGCAAGTTGCAGCTTCCCCCCATGAATTGGGATGTCTTTTAGATCTCTGTACCCAGTTAACTGGTGATAGTAGATGATTTTTCTCATTAGCTCAGATCTTTCTTCTGTCTAGATATTCCCAGTGATGTAACCTCCTTCAACAGCTGTAAAATGTGAAGCCTACCAGACTGGTTATTTGTCTGGTTTGCTAAGAGTTATCTATTTCAATATAGTGACTTTGGAAGTAGTTTTCTAACCAGTCAGGTAAGAGTTAGGGTGTAGTCCTTTGTGAGAAAGAAACCCAGAATGAGTCACAAGGGAAGAGAATCTGAACTGGAGGTATGAGCAGGCAGAATCCTAAAGAAACTCCCATAATATTCCAAGGAACACAAGCAGCTGATCCCTCTGCACAAGGCACTTTTTACTTTAACATAGACAATAATTCCTTGCTTATTTTTTCGTTAAAAAATAAACAAATAAACCCTCTTGCTTTTGCTAGTAAAATGTTCCAAATTTGGGGTTTTTTTAGAAGTGTAGTTTGAACATAAAATTTCATTTTAGAAAGTCCTTACTTTTCCATGAAATCAGACTATCAGCAAGGATCTTCCCACAGACTGTTCCAAGTGTGCACTAGAGGAACAAACACTAACCCAGAAATACATTTCACTAGAATAAAAAAAACCCAAACAAAGCAGCTCTATCATCCTGATAGGTGACTAGAAGCCAAGTTTCTCTTCGTTAGAAATAAAAGGGTAAATCTAAAAGGATGATTAAATACTGAGATGATAACCTTGACAGGACAGATTTAGTGTTTCAAATCAGCATCTGTGCTCACTGCTCTGTTCTGTCAAACACCTAATCTATATCCACAGTCAAAAGTACACATTAAAGTCAGAATGAGATGGGTATAGCTGCAACGCCTTTCTTCTTATTACCACCAGTGCAACACAAGGTGGTAATTTTGGTTCTTGACCCAGGTTTAAATTAATGCCTTATTTTATGTGCTGTGATTTACATAACAAATGCTTAAAATATTTTCATGACACAGATCTTTGGCTCTTAGAAACAACAAAATAAAAACCAAAATATCCCTCACAGGTATTAGCTTTACTATGAAAATATGTATTTTTACTTGTACCTGGATAGAGCAAATTAATTTTGATGCTTAAATATAAAACTCTACATTTTACCCTTTATGATTACCTGTGTTTTAATTTTTAAAGAAAGCTTCCCAATTCACTAGATGTCACCAGACAGAGGTCTGTATGTCTGGGTCACTACTTTGTACTTCACATCTAATTATCCAATAGCCTCTCTCAGACTGATTGAAAGCCATCATGCAAAGCCAATATCCAATTAAATTATTCAGGGATGCAAATTCCTCCCTTTAATCTTTATGTACAACACTGTCAGATTCTGAAAGTGGACAGTCAGTGAAAATAAATTGTGTTTAAAGTGAAGAGAATAGCACATGGCACTGTTTTCATTCAGAGCCTGTATTTACTAAAAAGGGATTTATCCACCTCGTGCAGCGAGTGTCACGCCATCTCCAAGTCACCCAAAGCAGGGAGCTGGCCTATCATTATGGCACACTGCAGAACAGTGTGGGTTAAGTCCTAGATGCTTGAGAGTATTGATGATATCATGTACTATAGTGATCTCTTCTTTGTATCTGCAAGTGAAAACACTGAGCAGGCTTTTGCATCCAGGTGGGAAATGAAATTTAAAGGCCAAAATCAAAGAACTCTCTTACCCAGTAACATTTCTGCACCCCAATTATGAGCCTGTTTAGCAAAGATCTCTAATTTGACTTCCACCTGAGGTTTCACAAACTAAGTCAGGTTGGAGCTGGACAGTGATAGCATGAAGTCAGTAGGACCACGCCTTTGCCAAACCAGTTGAAATAAGAGATACACCATGAGACAAATGGTCCTTTTAAGAGACACCATTAGCTGGTAGCACCTCTTCACTGCTCCTGCATCCAGTACACAACCAAGGAATAATGGCTCTCCTCTGTGCTCTTGGTGGATAAGAAACAAAACCGAGTTAAAAACGAGGATTCCCTAAGAGTAAGGGTGTTCTCTACATTGCTTTAAGGCAAACACATCAATTACAGCCAGCCTACACAGCTGGCTCTTCAAGTTCTGGATGGATGCTGCAGCTTGCTCACCTCCTCCAGCAGCCTGCCACACATGTCAGGAGGGTTCATAGCAGCAACTGTGCAATACAGCACCTGGGGTACTTCCCCAGGGTGTTGCAACAGCAGGTAAAACTGGTCCTGTGTTATTTATATGCCTGCTGAGTGTTTGGCAAGAAGCTGTGTTACACAGAGGGAACAATCTCTGACACTGCACACTCTGCTGGACTTCTTCAACATAGGCATAAAGAGACAAGGAAACAGAAGAAACCAGGGGAGGCCAGTACTGTTGGAGAAACTGAAATTGCATCTCAACTTACCTTGACAGTGAAGAGCTCAGACGTCACAAATGTGCGTTCTTGTTTGATATCCAAAACTCTAGATCAAATAAGAGACAAATTACAGATCACAACAACTCCCTGTCATTGCAAAACAGTTTCTGTAAGTGTTTGGAGAGTAAATATCTTTCCTGCATTCTGAATTAGGCATGATTCTATGCTGTAAAGGTGTTTTCAGATTGGAACAAAAAGGAAGGAAATATAAGATTTTCTGCAATATAACAAGAAAAAAACCCTTTGATTAATTAATTACTTACAGACTTGGATTCAGAGATGCTTGGAAACATTTCCAAATCTTTAATAATCTTTGTGCTAGTCTGTGATTATATTTCCCAACTATTAGTCTGATTTACCTTGCTTCTTCCCGAGCCAAAATCTCCAGTAGCTTTGACACATCTCCTGGGCAGTCGGAAATCACAAGGGAAAATCTGCACACTCTGTTATCCAGGGTCAGGGCACGAGCTATGCACTGTTGCAGCAAATGTAATTCCAGGTTTCCACTGCATATAACAACTGCCACTCTGAAAACAGAAAGATGGGAGTTTTGATTAGCACTTCCTTGTGTAAAGGAACCATAAATTGTAAACTCTGTGTCAATATCAGCCTAAGGTCTGCTAGAACCTCCCCTCAATAAGTGTTGTATGTCAGAGGGCTCCTGCCTCTCAGTGTCCATTATGAGCATGTAGGGGAGATCTAGAGGTTGGCTGCATTGGTTGGACTGAACTGAGGTTTTCATTTCGCATTTCCTAGAGGTTTGAGTTTTGTTAGAGATAATTACCTGGAGAACTGTAGGTCTTAGGTTTCAAGTTTCAAAAATTCTACATAATTCTCCCCTGGAAGTTCTAAATTTCAGCCTCTTACTGATCGGACTATGTCTATGTTCAAGGCTTTCTGTAACCATTGATTAAATTCATCACAACCCTAAAAAATGAGTGCAGAAATGTTTGAAGTGCCAGAGCCACATGAATAGTCTATTAAAATCTCTCTCTGCAGAGTCAAACCTAACCTCTTTGAGACCAGACCTTTGCATTTTCCCTTTCATTTTAGCTCTACTGAAACGTGCTGCTGCTCTGTGTGTACTGTCAGCCTCTTCTGAAGAATTGCCTCTGCAGTATTTTAGTGTACAATGCTGTGCACTAGAAATTTTATTTTGTCTTGAGGGAGTGTATGTTTAAATACATTCGGGACTATGACCTGAGCTGAGGCTCAATCCATTTAAGTGCTGAGTCCTCAAGCTGAGAGGCAAGGCAGCACTTAGCCACACTAAGTTCAACACTAAGCACAAGGATAATCCTCTGACAATGTGGCCAGCTCTCAGGACTGGGTCACTGCAGCAGACAGCCTAGCTCCTGTGCCACCACAGACAGGGCTGGGTTCCACAAGGGGAACGAGAGGAGACAGCAGGCTGACAGACAAGGTTTGTCAGGTCTCCAGGCTGGCATTTCTCTGGTTCAACACAATCTTACCACCTGTGACAGGTCTAGTCAGTCTGGAGTTTCTGGCACTGATGAGCCCCTTGCCAGTTCAGTGGCAGGAACTGCCTTGTCACCCATAGAACAAGTAGATTTTCACTGTTTCCTAGGACCAAGGTGCTCAGCCCCATGTTTTTGCTCAGTTCCCTGTTTGCAATAGCTGCTGTACCTTTTACCCTTCAACTCAGGCAGTTTCCCTGCCACCAATGCTGCAAGTCCAATGGCCCCTTCTGCATCAACCGTGGCTCTCTCATACTCCAGCAGCCTCAGCATTGAAATGAGGATGTCCTCCTCCCTGAAAGCAAGAGACTTGGGTCAAAACAAACCAAATCCAAAGAGCTCCCAAGAGCAGGAGACAATACATTTATGTGTAACTGGGTTCTTGCCATCCACCCACATTCATATGACCCCAAGGTGGTTTTACAGAATGCTATGCAGCTGGGGGTGAATGCACATCTCAGACTCATTATTAACTGAAAGACAGGATGGTTTTTTTACTAGAAGTATTACCTAAATCCTACCAGTAAGTATATTCCACAAATGTGGCCTTTTTGCGAAGATTAGAAGAGGTTTGTCAAGGGCTGCCTTCAAGTGTTGTAGAACACAAGGACAAGTTTCACACCCAGAGCATGACCAGGTAGTGATGGCAGGTGAAGTTTTGGCCAAAGGGTCCGTTTGGACAACACTTTTAGTCATATCACTTAGTTTTAGGTAGTCCTGCGAGGAGCTGGGAGTTGGACTTGGTAATCCTTCATGGGTCTCTTCCAGTTTGAGATATTCTGTGGTTCTGTGATATGTGGGTGTGGGTTCAAAGTCTTCAGTGCCCCTCTTGGAAGGAAAGGTACCCCATTCCCACACTCCCCCAGTCTCTGCATGATGGCAACTCCTGCCAACCTGCTCTCCACTGCACATGCAGAACCACCATACCCTGCAAGCAGAGCACATTTTTCATATGCAACAATGTCCATCCAGTATTATTTATTTCACTGTTTTGCTTCACCTACCTCACAGCAACAACTTTATCCACAAGCTTCCCAGTCAGCTGCAAAGAATTGCTGCCAAAGCAAACTCCACTCACATCTGCAGATTTCAAAAGACAAAAATATGAAGTTGGCTGCTTTAGACATATTCAACATTTTTTAGAGCCTTGGCTGGTTTGTGCCCTTAATGAGTGCAGCACACTGCTGTTACATGACCTTAAGTTGCTTGATTTTTTTTTCATGTGACAGAAATGTGTTTGGCAATGAAAGACCAAATCTCACAAGAAGGTTTTGCCATTTTGGACCCCTTCAAGAAACTTCTGATACTTCCCTGGCATTGTTCCCGTGTGAGAGTGACCCTGCAGCCCAGTGCTTTTCACTGTTCAATGAGGCTTGAAGGAGAGGAGACCCAAGCACAGCACTGGGCTTGTTAGCTCCAGCAGGACAGCTGAGTGCAGACACAGGCAGAGCTAACCAAGAGAAATCAGAAGTTTCTTATAAAACTCCCATTTAATCCAAAACTTTCAGAGACTTGAACATCAGGAAAACAGGATGTTCTTAAATTGCTTAACAACAGAGGTTTTTTGAGTAAATGATATGGAAACAACTGTACCATTTATAAACACTTTTGTTCTGAGAACAGTTTTGTGTCTAAATGTTTAAACACTGCATCATTTTCCTGCCTTTTCCCAAATTATTTTTTACACAAGAACTTTCCCATTGACTTCACTGGTTTAGATGCTGGATGTGAGCACAATGTTCAGATAAATACTCTCATATTTCTAATTATTCATGTGCACTGGAAATAATATTTTACCCCATCAGGGTGTGGGGAAAATGTGGCAGAAGTTGCCCTTACAGCTTGAACTAAATTCTGACTCTTCAGAGAACTCCCTTAAAATATGTTTGAACTGAAGTAACAAGAAAATAATTTATTTGGAGAAATCTATTACAACCTATATTTTACCTCCAAAAAAATACTGCATTTTCTCACCTCCATAGAAGTGATGATTGTTGCAGGCCTGGTCATCAGTTGGGTGGCCAGCTTTTAAGGACTGCTGCAATACTGGGAAACTTTCAGATTCAACTCCCTGAGAGGAAGAGACATGCTGTCACTTTTAAATTGAACCCATTGTAACAGAAGTTACCACCAAAGTAGATAGCAAAACCTAAAGGAAGTTCCCCTTCAAATTAACAATTAATTAATTGATTATTTCAATTTGCAAAACAACCCTGCTACCACTAAACTTACTCTGTGGCTTACTTAGGACCAAATTTTTCCAGTAAAGACTGATTTCAAAACACAGAACTGGATTTTGTTTGCTTGGGAAAAGTTTTCCCACACTTTTCTCTTAAATCCAGCCAAACAGCCAAGGGACAGGAACTTACTTCCCTGGATCCTACAGGGTCCTCTCTGAGGCAAAGCCCATGGGATCAGATCCTACAGGATCCTACAGGGTCCTCTCTGAGGCAAAGCCCATGGGATCAGATGGTTCCTGTCCCCAGCACAAGCAGTCTCTGCAAGTGTCACTAGATACCAGTGTCTTTTGTAAACAGCTGTGGTAAAAGCCACCCAAACTCAATGCTTAACAGGTGAAAGGCGACTTACAATTACAGAAATATGTGGGTTGAGGTGTTTGAGTGCAGCAGCTGACCCTGCCAGCAAGCCACAGTGGCCTCCTGCAGGGAAAATCACTGCGTCCAGATTTGGCACCTGCTCGTACATCTCCAGCCCCACGGTTCCCAGGCCTGACAGGTACACAGCACTGTCCTCCCTGCGGGAAGGAAGGACACACATCAGCAGAGGTCACAGCTCTCAGTCTGTAATAACTCAATCTACTGCTTTCAAGACATTGTTCAGTAGAAAAAGATAAATGTGAGAGTAAATCAGCAGCCCAGGAGGAGGGGAGGAGGTGAGGCAACAGGACGGTGCCATCAGGTGGAGCATAGCATGCTGCTGCCTACTGGGAGAAAACTTGTGCTGTAGACAAGCCCCTCAAAGAGTCTTCAGACTGAACAGCACTTAACTCCCATTGTTATCAGCTGTTTACAGAATTGGCAGGGAGAAGTCATGTTTCCATTGCCATTGCTTTCTTCAGCTTCATAAATTTTAAATGTTGCAGTTGAAACTACAGTCAAAGTCTCAAAAAGAAATCCCCTCTGTAGCAGACAGTGGATTTAGAGTTTGTGATGAAAGGAATTTTTCATGAGATTTAAGCAGTGTGTTCAACCTCACAAATACCAAACAGATTGCTAGAGTTGTCTTTCCACAGTCCAGGGCCAATATCTGATACCTTTGCATAAACCAAAGCATTTAGTCATGCCAAAATATTCACTGGTAAAATACTTTCAGGCAAATGTAGTATAAAGAATAGAGACAAGCAGCACCAAAAAACTGAAGAAAACTCCACTATACAGTCACATGACTGACCTGGATCTATTTCTGAAAGCTGGTTTGCATTTTATTTACAAGTTAGTAATGATGTAAATGTAGAACTACATATAAGAAAATAAGTACAAGCTCTCTGTACAATCTGCTTTTTCTGGCAAACAGAATTATAGATCCAATCACTGTGCTCGATTTGCTTGACTTTATTTACAAGGATGTTTGGGTACTAGAAAATTGTTTTTATTACTGTTAGACAGGCATAGAGGGAGTCAGCATAGGAACACAGAATTCCTGCAAGAAGGAGACCAAGGCCCTTGAGAGTATATAACTCACATATATACCAAGACACAGAAAATTCCTCAGGGCAAGGGCCCATATGACTGCATAAGAAAGGAGAGGATTAATGAACTTCCACTCCTGTAGCACAGCCAAAGGCAAGAAATCATAGTGGAATGAGTAACTGAATCCTTGTATTTACTGTCTTTATCAAGATACTGAAGGAGTTCTCTCCTCCTTCTTATATGTGAAAAAATATATTACTGGCCTCCTGAAGAATTCTGGACACTTATTCCCAAATAAGATTATGATCTGAGTTTGTGGAGCTATGCCTGCCATAGTTACATGGGTTACAAGGGGACCTGCAAAAATAAATGAAGGCTTGAGATGTGCAATGAGGGAATAAAGCCTCTCCAACAACTGAAAACTGTCCAAATGAGACTGCTCTGGACACAGAGAGCTGATAGCAATTTGAATCAATATTTCAGATCATCATGTTTTCCTTGCTAAAATCCAGTTGAAACATCAGTTCACAGACCAGCTGTCAGCTTTTATAATAAAATGGGTGATTTTCTTTGCACTGTGACTGATAACTTTTGCTTTTTGAAAGCAAGCATATCTCTGAGAATCATATGCCATTGAGGTAAAATGAAGGAACAATGCAGATAAATCTAAAGACTGTAGACTGAAACAAGCATTTTTGAGGCAGAGCTAAAAACTTGGCTATTTACCTTCTGAAATGCTATCAGACTTTATTTTTCCAGTGAAGTTTTGTGTGGCAGCTAGAAGGTTCTGGTCCTATCTGTTCCAAGTAAAAGGTTCAGAGTCTGCTGGGCAGAGTTAACAGACTAACCAGATCACAAATGATCAGGTTTGATCAGCATTTAGAAACAGAGTTACACGAGAAAAAAGTGGGCTCTCAAGGAAGGAAGGTGTATAATTCAATCTGCAGCACTCTTTCCTCCTTGATCCACAAAGGAATCTTTCTCACATCCTCACAGAGGTACTGATTTAGTTATTGGCAATAGTCACATTGCATTTATAATTAGGTCCTGAGCCTCTATAGTTAGTAAAAATTTCACAGCACCTAGGCAGCAATTAGGCAGAATAAATGATTGAATTCCAATTTGAAAAATCACATTTCCTTCCTGGGATTTCTCAGGAAGTTGCCACTGAGTAAAAAGTGTCCTTCATCTATTTGAATTCTTGCATGGTCATTTTCATGACACAGTATTTTAATTGCACTCAGGCAATGGGAAGAGCTGACGATGACACACCCAGCTGCAGGGCATCGCCCATGCAGGTACAGCCAAACCCAGCCACGCAGTGTCTGCTTCAGGAAGGGTAGAATGAATTACTGGCTGAGGAGACCCAGAGACAAAATTGCTAGGGATTGTATGCAAGCTAGAATTAAAGTGAAATAAAAAATGACATTTTGGAAGTTCCATTCTAGCACTTGGGAGATCAGCTGGTATTTTACAAGCAGCTTTGACAAAAAGTGACAAGAATGTGTGTCAGACCCACACTGGAGAACACTGGCTACCCATAAAGGCATACAATACACTGGGAAATCTCTCACCTAACAAAACATTTTTCAGATATCCCATTATGAAAAGATTCACAGTTGAAGTTGGGGGGTTTCTTCCTTTTTTTTTTTTTTTCTCTCAATGAAAAATTGCATCTGTGAGGTTTTAATTGAACACAGTCACAGACTGAACAACTCTGTGTCTTGTAACCTGAAACCTGAAATAAATCAGAGTGCTTCAGTATTGTTAATGATAGTGTGTACATTTAGAGTTCCTCAGTGTTGGATGTTGAACTTCTACACGAGCATTGTCCCTGGAGCTTCATGAACCTGTAGAATATCTACCTCATGTAACTTAAATCATGATTTAGGGAGGAGGGGAAGATTAAACATCAAATTGCGATAAAAAAATTTAGTTCTTATGTGTGAATGTGATAGTTGATGCAAGCCAGCTGGAAGTTAACACATCAATTAAAAAATGGCTGACAGAAATTTGGAAATCACAAAGTTATGGAAAAATGTGGTTTCCAAAAGAGCCTAAAAGTGTTTAAAATTCTTTGGGATTCAAGGCACCTCATTCCCTACCAGAAATCCCAGCCTGGGACAAGACTGTGCCTGTGGTGTCAGACCAGGCACGCGAGCCAGCTCTGCGTGTCACCGGCTGCTGGCAGAGCTGACAGAGGGGTTGAGAGTTGTGTTCTGCCTTCCCTACACACCAGCTGGGAAAGAAGTGAGGGCTTCCTGCACAGAAATGGTACAGGGACAATAACATTCCAGCCCAGGGCATCAGAGGGGCCACTGTTAATGACTCACCCCTCTGTGCTTTTGGAAATCTTTCTTGAAGAAAGGTAAAAAAAGAAAGGAGGGGGGAATGCACAAAAGGCTACAGAGATCAAAGAGAACAGGGAAAAGGTATCAGTTCAAAGTGGTTTTGCCTGTCATATTTATGTTTTTGTTAGATCTGCCTTGTCCAGTGATCTCAAACAGTGCAAATTTAGATTTATGCTCACCCTTAGCTACTTTAAATGTATGTGTGAAGTAGCCTCTTAATCATCTTTCTTTTCAAGGCAATATCAGTTTTGTTCTTCACACCAGATAAGTGAAAATCTTAGAGCAGTTTTCTAACCTTCAACCATTCTTCAACCTTCTCTTGCTCCACATTATCCCACTGAACCTTTGCACTGAACTTTTACCCACCTGTCTTCAAACAGAGAGACCAGAAATGAACACTAGCCTTAATGCATTCTGACAGAGTTCCTAAAGAATTAACCTACAGCCACTATCATATTAGGCCATAGAAATCCCTAACCACAGAGTTTGCCTAATCTAGGGGCAGAGAAGAGTGTTTCATTTTGGTCTCCATCCCCACCTGTTACAGAAAGACATGATTTGTCCCTGGAAACACGTAACTGTCCATGTTCCAGGTAAGAGGAGCATTTTGATGAGCCGTGACAACATTTTAAAGAACCCAATTGTTTTTGCAGAGCTGAGTGTGCAAGCATCTAGCCAGATCTTTCTAATGAGCCTGCCTTTCACTTACTCTTCGAGGTAGAGGTAACCATTCTCCTGCGCCAGCCTCCTCGCGTGCACCTGGGAATCCTTCGCTGTGGTGCCGTAGGAGATGACCATGGCGCCGTACTCACGGCACATTTTCACCCTGGCCGGAGCCGTGCTGGTGGACACGATGACAAACACGGGAATATGGAGCTCTGAGGCATGGTAAGCAACAGCCATGGAAAAGTTACTGTCCGAAGCCACGATCACCCCCTTTCTTTGCTGCTCCTAAAAAACAGGGTCGCTTATTGCACATTATGCAGTGGCGTGTAGTTGTCCCATATGATCCTGGGTCATTCTAGTGATCTGACTTCCTTTTTTGCCCTTTACTAGATGGCTGAATTGTGATACTATGGTACAGTATATGCACATTTGGTGTGATCTCAGGATTTACACACAAAGTTAAAACAGCTTTCTTTTTTAAAACAGCTAAAACAAGATCAATTCCTGTGCCTGCACTCCCCCAGGTAATTAATTCAATTAATCGAATTTCAGTTTCATTGGAAAGAGGTGAAAAACTCCAACTGATCACAGAAGAGCTGATATCTGGTCCCTCAGAGCTGAAATCTCTGCTCTGCCTGTATGAAATTATTTCATTTCAGGCTTCCTTTTAACAGAAGATTTCATTTATACTATTACGAAAGGCAGGAATGACCACTGCTCTGGGCTGCTGTCTCATGCCTCTTATAACATTTATTACTGCAGAGACTCTTGTGACAATGACAACCTCCTATGACAAATGATAAACAAGCTATTCATGTAAGAAAATTGAAATTCATTACAAAATCAATTGGTGATCCAGATCCTTGTCATAGTCATTGTAATTCAATTTCATCATCACTCAAGTGTTTGGTGGTTTCAACATACCAGAACTACAATACACATAAAAACACTTGCACTATAATGCCACAGGAAAATGCTGATGTTTCTATTTTGCAAGCTTTTGTTTCAAACATTTTTAAGAATTTCACCAGCCAATCAGCCAGCTGTAAATAAAGTAGTATTTTATGTTCAGACCTATCTCCGTTCACATGCTGTGTTCAGTACAATGATTCTAAAGACAAGACAAGAAACACTGTGATTCCTTGGAGATTAGAGGTAAATTTATCTTCAACTCTGCTCCATTTTCATGAAGCAGAGCTTATCCTCTTCTTTTTGAATGGTGACATTGTGCTGTACCTGAGGCAATGACATCAGAAGGTAAAGTACCCCTCGTTCCTTCACAGACCCTGTGTACTGGAGGAATTCCTTCTTCAGGTAGATGTCCATTCCATACTGCTTGGATAGCCTAGAATACTGCAGTAGATAAATAATACTATGTCAATATATCTACTATTAAGAAAAATCTTCCACACCCCATCAGCTGTCTGTTGAGGCATAAATTCTACTGCTATATATGAGCTCCAAAAAGTAAAATTCATCTTCTGTTTTTTTTATAAATACAGTGTGTTTTTACCCACCAAGTCCTTCTGCTTTATGGAAGTGATTTTCAAACTCACAGCAGTGAAATATGGACCACATGTCATTAAGAACTCTGAAAATAGCACTTGCTCTGGATCTTGCTGTTCAAACACAGGCATTAAAATAAATATTTTCAATTATCTCAAAACCCATGCTTCCAGCACTTGGCAGAACTGGATATTGAATACCCAAAAAATAAGATCATCATCTAATAGATACAAAAGCCATCATAAAACACCTCCTTGAGCCCCATTATGACTCTGCTGTGGTTTATGCCACTGATCCACTACTGAGTGTTGTCTATTTTGCATCCTAAGGCCAGTAGAACGTTAGTAAAGACATTTCTTACTCAAAGAAAGATGGAAATAATAAAAAACAATTTCCCAGGGCTGCAAGTGTAAGCAGCAGCTGTTTGGAAAAGCTTAGTGTTTGGAATAGAAAGGATGCCTGAGCTGAGGGGAATTAGCAAGCACATTTCATGTGATGCAGTGTCCAAGTGCATGATTTTAAAACATTTTTAATGCCTAATATTCGTTAAGTTTCATAATAAGACACTCCTAGCACACATCAACATATTAATTTCCTATTACCATATTCACTAAACCAAGAGTTTTACACAAGAGAACTTGTGAAACAGAGCTGCAGTAAGCCTGTGGGTGCCAGCTCCCCAGGCTTACTGCAGCTCTATTTCAGAATTGGCTCCATCTCCTCTATTGGCTGCCAAAGCAAATGAGGCCCTGGTGATTAAGGGGATCAAGTCCTCATTTAAGATAAGTCACGAAGTGAGACACATCCAAAAACAGCATGACAAAATATTTATCTCCAGCAATATCTGGCTGTGTCACACATACAATGAATAGTGTACACACTAATATGTACTGACATGCTTTTCAGACTGCAGGACTTTCCAAGTGAATTTATATAAACTAAATATATCTGACAGAGATACTTGCTGTAAAGTATACAGTTAAACTACATGTTTCAGGTGAACGTTTCAAGGCTTTTTAGTGGATTTCCAAGCATATGTTAAGTTCCTCGCCCATAGGTGGGGCCAGATTCTCTATTTTGCTTCTGAAAATCCTGACATAAGAGCTTGCTGCTCCTTTGCAAATCTGGCAGCAGAAACTGAAACAATGGAAAGTGCTTAGCAGACTAATAGGATAATACTTTATATCCTAAACATCCTAATCTATGGAGAATGCCTATGCAAAATAGAACAAGAACACTATAAAAGAAATGCTACTAATTCTTCATATACCACACCTGTTTTTGTAGAGAATCTTGTATTCTAGAGTGAACAATCAGAAAAAAGATTTAAGGAGATGAATCCTGTAAATAATGAAGTTGCTCAGTCTCCTAAATTTAAAACCGTGTCATTAAGTTACCCTTTACCACAGAGATGGTATAATTTAGATTGATATTTTTCTTTGAATTTGATATTCAGGATTTTAATTCTTTAGGTTATCCTTTTTGTCTTCCTTTAACTGAGGATTTTTTCATATAGCCTAAATATAGCAATTACTTCTAACAAAGCAGGCATCAGTGCTATTTGCAGCTGAACTGACCTGATGTGTGACCTCCTAAGACTCATTGAACCAGCCTGTAAGATTTCCCTTTAGTCACTGTGATCTTATCTAAGGACTACAGATACTGTGTCTAAGGTACAGCACACAGCACAGCCTCCCTCTGGCATCCACAAAGGTGACACAACACAGCCCTTACACAGACCTCCATCAGTAGCCAAACCAGCTGTCCAGTTTGGTGTCAGCTCCTAGTTTTCTTATGCTCACTATCTCTTTGGCATGTCACAATTCACTCCTGGTGCCTTATCTCAGCTCCAAGGCAAACTCCTGACTAAGGAACTGGGATGCTTCATCTGTGGTTTTACCTGCAGATTAGGAATCACCCTGCAAAGTGTCTCTCCCTTCAATTAATTAAATGGATTATAGTCACACTCACTTTTTTAGTCTAAACAAATGTCATTGAAAGAGGCTCTCACTTGTGTCCTTTGACACAAGACACACTTCTTCAGTAATGTGCTACAAAAAGCACAGCTATCCTTTATTTTGGGAATGCTAGGCTAAAAAACCCACACTGGAAGTAGTTATGATGTCTCTGGATCAGCCATTTGGCAGAGACACTCCTTTGACCCACCAAAAGGAAAATAGATTACCAGAGAGCTGAGAGTAGACTGCTTGAAGAGCTCCCAGCAGTAGAAACACACTATGAAAATGCATAGAAATACAGTACAGCTTGCCACTGTATTTCTCTTATGCTTTAGCAGACCTTGTGCATTGATGGGGCTATCTCAGTAATTTCTACACCAATTGACATGTTTGTGTGTGTGTGTGTGTCTGTCTTAGCATCCTTACTTTGCTGAAGACATCTGTGGTAGAAATACCTGGTTACAGAGCATATCCAGCCCTTCCTGGTTGGCCTGACTGAGAGGGAAAAGCTGTACCTTCAAACCCTCCAAATATGAACACTCCCACAAGAGTGTTCACCCAAACACTGGTAGTCTGTCACCTCCACCTCAGGTTCCTTAGAGCAGGAGTTTTTCACTGGGACCATAATACCACACTGCATTAAGTCTGTGCCTAATGTGGTTTATCCTTTGTTTACAGGTCACTGTAATCTTTGAGGATTTAGGTTAGTGTAAACAGATAAGAAGAAAATTATTATTGACAGTTAAATACAATTAATATGAACGTGAGTCTTCTTACGCAGAACTATCTGTGCAATTCACACAAACCTTTGCTTCTTTTCTGATCAACCTTCGTAAGGAAAAAGAAAAGAAACATTGATAGAATGCAAAACTATAAATATTTCCTACCATGCAGGGGGTTTTCTGAACACCACACTGGATTTTGAAGGCTGCTGCACTAATGTCTTCAAATCGAATCAGCTTGTTACAGCTTGTCAGGCTGGTCCTACTGCTTGGCTGAGGGATGCAGGAAAGGGCATCCCTAAGTAACTCCTCATTTCGGCTCACTATCTTCATTTCCCAGGTCTTCACATCCCCGTTGAGGTAATCCTCCTCACCAAAATCCTTCAGTCTCTCAGGGTTGATAGAGGGTGGCTTCTGCCTAATTAGGCCATTTCTTACAGGCACATCCTTACAGCAGTGAAGATCACAGACTGCTGGCATATCTTGCTTCTTTATTTTATTGTCATCCCTGAAAACAAAAGAAACTGGTTAAATGGCTTGGATGATTAAAGGCTTGATATTTAGCATTTTAGAAGGATGCACATCTCAGTTGCTCTTTACAGGCCTCGAGCAGGCAGAGTGAGTTACTACTCTCATATTACCTACCTGTAGGTGCACTGAAAGATTCTGTAACCTTCCAGCTGTTAGAAAAGCCATAAGTAACCCAACATGTGGGCAAACTGTGAAACTGTCCTACCCAAGAAAATACAAAATATATAATCTGTGTTGTCTGGACAGCCAGACCTTCCTTAGTACTTGGTATTCAACCAGCAACAAAGGTTCAGTGCTTCTAAAAATTTTGGAATAACTGGAATTATATTTTCTGTATGTAATTCTATCTTTTTCAAAAAAGGCAAGTGGCTGCTGCAGACCACTCCCACAAACTATTAATAGCAGTAACAAATGCCACTACATTGTACACCAGAGGTCTGCTCTCTGCCCTTGCATACTTGCAGAGTGTACTCTTGACAGCCATCAGCTTCCTCGTGATGGGAAGGAAATTGCCTTGATAAGGGATAACAATTATATCCTCCTACAAAGCTAAAGAATTAAGTCTTCTGATCTGTGGGTTAACATTTCATGGGTAAATACATGTGTAGATATGGCAGAAATGTGGTGGCACAAAAATTTCCATCCCCAAGAAACTTAGGAGACAGCACTGCTAGAAAAAATTGCTGGACTTGCTGCCTTCATCTGCCTGGCTCTATGGTCCATAGAATTCAGTTCACAAAGAATAATGTGCTCTAGTGCAGGACTTTGCAGTCCTATTAATAGATAAATGCAAAACTTCTAGGAATTCTTGGAATTTGGAGAGTATTATGGGGAAAAGGAGCATTAAGCAGAAGACCAGTGACTGGGAAAAGAGCTGATACCACCCCTGGTTTGTGGCTATGATTAGACAGATGGAATGAGCTCCTCTACATGACTCACTATTAATCTATTTGGTAGAAATGGTTTTCTAAAAGCAAAATTACATCAGACATTCCAGCATTATCTCCAACAAAAAATATTTACCTTTTTCCTAAAATAATTTGGGTCTAAGTTTTGCAGTTATTCATCAGCAGTGCTGGCTAAAGCACATTTTACAGCAGCAATCTGTAATATATCTGACCATAATATGCTTTGCAGCAATTTCCAAAAGAATTTAAAAATATTTAGAAAGATCTGTTTTCGAGCAGTTGCCCACTTTGGGCAGTATCATCCATTTCCTTAATGGTATCAATAATCTGTGCCAGTAGCTCTGGTTCCTATTACACTTCCAATTTTTCCACTGAGGAATTCACTTAACAATATGGGCAACATAAAACGTTTTATTATTAGAATTAAGTAATATACCAGTAGCATCATCAAACATTCTGTATATCTTCACGGGAGAAAATTTTTGTAGCAAGATGTTCTCTCTCCAAAATTAATGAGAACACTCATTTTCTAAGATAAATAAGGTTACATTTGTAACATTTTTATGTTGAAACTTGTAATGGAATGTATTTTCCCAATACTGTATCTTAAATTTGACAGAGCCTAACACCAGGCATTCTGCTTTCAAATTAAATAACTTACCAAGTAGCTCTGTTCTATGCTTTTCTGCATCTCTGCTCCATCAGGGTTAGGCAGCTGGAACACTTCATAAAGATGTTAAGCTTCCAGTGTTAGTTTGAGTGCACATTAGTCTGCTTAAGGCAAAGCTGAGACCCAGATCAGACTGCCTCCCTGTGAACTTGTCACAGCACAGACCCCACAAAAACAGCAGCAGCAGCAGCATCCAAGAGGCCACAGCGCTGCCAGGGCTCATTCCACACCTCTCCCTTCTGAAAAAATCTTTTCCATATCACAGACTCCCATAACCACTCCAAAAGGAAGAACACATACATCTTATTTCTGAACACTGTCTAAAATGTTTAGCAAGCATTAGCAATGAATTATGTTTCTTACCCTGGAAATGGGTTAAAGGGGTCTATGTAAGGTAAAAAAAAATTAGGTAGATCAAAACTTTGTGAATTTGTGGGTCAAATTTTTTATCCAGCTGGCTTTGATATGGAATAACAATTCTCATTTTTCATTGCATGTGTTGCAATCAAAAAGCCTATAAAAACACCCAGCCAAAGATGACCACCAGAAGTTTATTGATGAAGTAGGATTCTGTGAGAAATTAGAAGTGCATGGTAATACCTCACCACACTAGTGCCATCAAATATTTGTATCTGCAATTAGAAAGACCAAAATGGTATATGGATTTTTTTCCCTAGTCTTAGGTTTTCCTTTTTTGGCAGAAAAAAAAGGAGGGAAGTAAATCAGATTCTCAGTCCTTGATGTGCAGTAGCACTTTGATGACCAGTGAATATCAGCTCAGGACTCCAATGGAGACAACACCTTGTGACCATTGGAAAAGAGAAACAGAAATCAAATAGCTGTAACATATGTATAGGCTTTTCAGGCTTGAGCTAGGTTTAGAGCACATCTGAATTATTACCACCTCAATATTTCATATGAAAACTATCATACATTTGCATCTGAAAGGTCAGCAGCCTCTTCATCAAGGGATTATCATTCAATTGCATATATATGTATTTTATGTATTTATTTCAGAATACCTTTGATTCTTCTTCTACTCCCATGTTTTATTTACTTTAGAGAATGACATTTTCCCATACTGAGCCCACCTGGATGTGCCACAGACCATCCTAGAGCTCTCCCAAGATAAACAGCAGGCTGAAGTTTGATAAAGTATCACAAATGGGCAAATAATGACCCTGTTGGATCAAAAGTATTTCTTGTCTCAAAAGCATTCCCCATGCCTGGCAGAGATCTATATGGATTTCTTTTACAGGAGCAGCCAAAGCAGGCAGCAAAGCATGCAAGTGCTCAAAAAAACCACAGCACGTGATTTCTCAAGCACAGTAACAAAATATAGCCCCTACTCCAGCAATCATGTCCACCAGATGAAGATCTTAGCCAATATAAATACAAACCCCAGCACTATAAAGCACTGTTCCTTTCAAATGGAGCTTTTCCTTTTTTGGAGTTTGTCAAAAGTTTTCTTTAAAAGGTCTGTTTATTTCCAGATATAAAACAAATACCCAGCTGGCAAGCTTTGTTACATAGTTATAAATTACAACATTTTACCTTTAAAGTTATTAGTAAAAACAAACACAAAAACACGGTTTATAAACCTACTTTTTCAAGAACAGCTGCTCAGCATAACTGGAAAAAAAAAGAGAAGATCCATATGCAGACATTCCATAAACAATTAAGGCATGAGAAAAAATATAATTTTTTTAAGTAGATAGCTTTACATATTTTAAAATCTTAAAGTCAAGGCAAAGACAGTGTGTACCAAAATGTACTCCTACAATAATAAAAAGCAACAATCTGGAATGAATAATTTTTCTATTTCCAGTTTGGTTTTTTGAACATACTGATAATATTCACCAAGTTAAACAGCATTAGGGAAGAAAAATCAGAAATAATAACATTAACAAACTAAGAAAATAATAAAACCAGCAAAAATAATTTTGGGAAGATAAAAAGCAATAGTTCATACTATTATATATATATGTACTATATATATATGTATTATATATATATAGCACACCTAAAACCACAACTGTTGCCTTCATTAGACAGAGAAGTGTCCAGGTGTGCAATGATGGACAGTTACACGTCCCTGTTGTGAAGCACGTTCAGATTGCCTCCCTCAGGACCCAGAAAACAGACTAAACAGATTAAATTGATGCACTGGATGTCCTCAGCTTCTAAAACTAAAGGAGCAAAATCTGCAAAATCACACATGTCCAGAGAATAGCAAATTGTGCAAAACTAGCCATCATTCTGCCCAGCATAATAGTTAAAGGGAGATGGTATGAAAGAATCAGGTAGAAAATTTGAAATTTCCCTTTTTAGAGAAATTAATCAGCTCACAGACCTCATTGCCAGAGGACTCTATGAGGAACAACAACCTAAATGGGCTTTTAAAAAACTGCACAACTAAATGGAAGTAGTGACCAATACACATCATTCAAGAATTAATCTGTGATTCAGGAAGCCCCTGAGCATTTGGCAAACTCCATGAATGCATATGAGAGAAAGTGTCTTAGGTGGCTTTTATTTTCCTCCCAGCTCTGCTACTGGCTAGCTCTAGAGAGGACACAGAGGAGGACTGCTCTTTGGCCTGACCAGTGTTGCCATTTTGATTGCAGATGTACCCAGTGCCAGCAGCTGGCCCATTTGGCAGCTTTTACACTTTCAAAATGAGCCACAGCAACATGTTTTGAGGCAGACATGAAGCTGGAATCATGGACATACATTCCCATGTATGGTTCACAGATAGAAATTCAAGTGTCACAAAAGGAAACTAATTTTAATATAAGACTGAAAACTCAGCCTTTCTTTGTCATTTCTAGCTTTTGTCATCTGCATTCACTATTAAGAGGGACTGTTACAAAATGTGCAAACATAAAAATATTCTTAAGCAAGGATGTTTTTGATGTTTGATGTTTGTATATTTTCAAGCCTAATCAACAAGAAGGGAGATTTAATCCATGAAACAGCAGCTAACAAACTCCAAGTGATGTTCATGTGCTAGGAAAGCAAATTAGTTGTTGGTAGAATTGCCTCAGTAATGTTTAGGGCTTGACATACTTCAGTGATCTCAGACCTCATATGAGGTTAACAAAGCTTGGGGAGAAGGATGTACCCCTGACAGTGGACACAAAAAATGAAGAATGCCCCAAGGACATTTGGTAGAATTCCCAAGACAAAGGAGAAACTAACAAAGCCAACTCAGCAGCTGTGCTGCAAATTAGCTCTGATGGGGTAAAAGGTGGTTCTGGCAGGGGCAGACTGTGACCACCAACCCAAGAAACCACTGACCCAAAAGAAGAGAAAGACTGAGCATGAGAACTAATTAGCATGAGGAACAAGAGAACCATCAACCAATAGAAGATAAAATACTAATTAATAAGAGAACTTGTAGCAAATGAAAGTTAATTCCTTTGTTTGTTAAAATGCATAGATAGCAAAAAGCATTGATAGTTGGTGTGCTTGATTTGTGGAATCCACAGAGCACCCAGACTTGTGCAGCTCTCAAGTATAATGAATGGCTCTCTCAGCATGTAATTATTACCTTGTTGCACACCAGGTAAGGAATCTGATTATTGTGGACAACAACAGTATGGCACAAGTTCTGTGGAATGCTTCAGCATGTTTATAGGCCTGTGCCATGATAAGAAGTTCCAACTCCAATGCCCAGCTTGGGCTGAGCAGCCACAAAATGTTAAGCTTGAATAGCACTTCAAACTCATATGCATGTGTTCTCTACATGTAGATTTTAGTTTTGTCCTTTTTTAATGTTTTGGTTGTAGGGGTTTCTTAAGCTCGTACCTATATGCTGCCATCATCTTCAGGCTCCCTGAAGACTTTCCTGGACACTGACCAAGAGACACTGGTAAGATCCAGTTTTAGACATACTCGTCATTTGCTTTCAGGTAACTGGGCTCAGATCTTATGCCTGCAAGTTCAGAATACTTATTAAGGCAAAAGGTGACCCCTTTAAAGTCACTTCTGCCTCTCTCTTGAGCAGAGATGGGTCATGTACAGGGGGCAAGGCAGGGGGAGCAGCCTGCTGCAGGAAGCAGCCTGCTTGGTTTATGACTGCAGTGTGACTGGGGCTGGGATCACCTCTCACAGGAGTGAGAAAGAGGCAATCCCAGGATATGACAGAGAGGGCCCTTTCCCTCACCCAAATCCCTTTTACCCAGAACCTCTCCGGCTCCATTAATCCTTCTAATTCCATGTCCCAGCACTGTCTCCTCTGACCCTTCTCACTGCCTGAGCCTCCCAGACCCCTCTGATACTTTCCTCATTTGTTGCAATCCCTTTTCCCAGTAGCTCCTAAACATTCCTGTTCCATCTCAACTCCTCTTCTACCTTTTTACTCATCCCCAAATACATCAAAATACTGCAATAGCAGCAATTCTTTAAAACATCTCAGTAACTTGTGCAAGTGGGACTTTATGGAAGAAAAATGGTAGAAAAATAGAGGCTTGCTGAGATAAAAGTGTCAAGAAGGATCACAGGAAATGTCATCTTCACTACCAGGAATTCCGGGTTATACACTCTAGAGTGTCTGCACACCACTACAGGGTGACAAATAAACTCCTGCAGGTACAAGGAAGGAACACAAGATCTCTATTTGACAATAAATTTAAAACAGATCAAAGACAACAGTGCACTCTAAACATGACTGTCTTGAATTATCAGTATTTTGTGTAATACTAGTACTTGGAAATACCCATCTGAGACTGTATCGCTCCAACTAGTGCCACATACAGGATGGAAATATAAAATGCATGTCTGACATTTATATCCCTAAACCCTATGCAAAGTGATTGTTCCTAAGTCACACAGGAATCACCAACACCTTCCCCTAAACAGAAAGACAAGTTCAGCAAATATTAGCTCAACTTTATTGATGGAAACTGGGACACAGACCCAGTGACTTGCCTAAGACTTCCGCAGGGCTATTTATCAGAGTGTCTTAAAGACAAAGAGATCAGGGCTTAGCAGCCATCCTGGATGGCAAAAGTGCAAGCACTGTGACCACCCAACACAGATAGGTACATAATAACCAAGCCTTGAGACTGAGCAGGCCTTTATAACTCTATCACCACATACAGGTCTGACAAACCCATGTGACGCTGCACCAGCAGCACACTCAAAGAAAGCTCAAGCTCACGGAGGAGAGAACCAAGCTGTATTATCACCTCTGATTATATCTCTCCTTACTTTTAATAAGTCAGATTTATCAGAGGCTGAGCCTGGCACTCCATGTGCCTTCATCTGTGGCCATTGCCATTCTCCTGTACACACTGTGCACATGTCATCGCTTACTGCTGCCAGTGGCAACTGCGTGTCAGCTGCTGAAGAGAAAACACTAGAAAAAGCAATCTGAAAGCAAGAAGAATTCACAAGGCCACCCATCATGGAAATGCTGCAGCAGAAGTAACTAATGGTCCCTCAAACAGACCCACCCCTCTCAAACGTTCTTTAAAGACTTTTACAGCTGTTAATGTCAAATGATCACTATCCAACACTGCACAGAATCTGACAGCTAAAGCTCTTCAAGCAATTTAACTTTTTCCTAAGTTGAATGTATTCTGAGTCTACAGGTTTTCTGGTGACTAACATATCTCCATAATTCACTTCCAATTAGGAACGAATAATAACTCAGAATAGAGGAAAGAGTGATCCTGTGCTGAAAGGAAATTCACAGTGCACTGCAGAACAGGTCATACCACAGGTGACTTTGGGCAAGTCCTTTTTGCAGGCCTGCTGAAACAATTTATGTCTTAAATGTGACAAGGAGATGCAGGAAATGAGAATTGCTCCTTGTTTGTACCACATCTGGCAAAACCAGAGTGTAATCTCAATAGTGGTGTCCAGATAATAAAACTGAGGGAGAAACAAACTATGGAAAAGGTTAAGAATGAGGTTGCACAACACCACCATGCCATGTGTGTGCACAGCTCATGCTACACAAGGACACTAGATGACTCTTAAATTCCATCTGCACCATCCAAGTCTGAAAACAGGAATTTAAGATCACCATAACAAAGACAACCACAGAGCTGTAATAACAGGATCTGACATGGGCTATCCCAAGATAAATTTTCAGCAGTCCATTGGCCTGTCCAGGGTTATTTCTGATACCGTACTCATGAAGAAATAAAAAATCTGATCTCTGCAGGCTAAAAATACTCAAATCTCCACTACTTCCAGTGGATAACTCCAAGAGCAACTCACACCCACAGAACCCTGGGAGATTATGGAAAATTACAAACAGTTTCCTGGATTTTTTTGTTTGGTTTGATATTTTTAAGAAAGTAAGGAAAGGAAAAAGAAAGCATTACCTATACAGCACAGCGACTAAATAAACAACGAGGTGAAGCAAAACTCCAACTACGACACCATAAGGAGGCAGGAGGGGTCCAGGGGTTGTCATGTCCGTGGGCCTGGCCCTGGGTGGACCCCGAGGGCTGACCATGACCCCTGAGGGGGATAAAGGAGCACTCTAGCTCTAAGTCAGACAGCAATATTCTCCAACCTTTGCCAGAAAGGATCGTAGTCTTCGTCTTCCCTGTAGCGGTCCCTGGGACTTCTGTTTTTTAAGACTCTGAAGTAGATAAACTGGGCTGCAAAATTCATTGTAACTCCTGGTGCAAAGCAAAGCTGGGAGACGGCTGGCAGGGGACACACTTGCCTGTGAGAAGTGTCAGCCCTGCACTGCCTGGGTGGGAAATAGCAGGAGATGTGCTGTAAGCAGCTCTCAGCGCTGGCTGGGGGGGAAGTGCCTTTGAAAGAGATGGCTGCTGCTATTTAAAGAGATTATTTCAGAGCCCAACCTGTCCTTGTCAATTTGAGTCAGGGCCTGGATTATGCTCGGGTGACGCTCTGTTAGCAGGACACTTGAAGCTTTAGATACTTACTGCTTAGCTGTGGAGCATGATCCCGACAGGCTGCAGGGCCCAGCACTGAGCAGCGGCGGCACAGCAGGAAAGGGATGCCAGGTTTGGGGTGGTTGAGTCTCTGCAGGGATCCTTTAAGGCAGCACCAGGGACCACAGGTCCTCATGACTGAGGCACAGTGGAGACAGCTCTGCTTGTCCAGGTCTCCTCTTGGCACAAGTCCCTGGAGAAGAAAAATACAGGTATCTAGATCATAAAGAAAAGAAAAGGCCATCTAGGGGAGGGACTGCAGCAACAGTTAACTACATCTGTATAGATATCTGTTATATCTATTTATATATATATATGGGGATTACATATATATATAGAAATATATATGCATATATATACATATATATAGATATATCTCTATACACATATATAGATATAGATAGATGATACAGATGATATAGATATAGATATAGATATAGATATAGATATAGATATAGATATAGATATAGATAGATATAGATATAGATATAGATATAGATAGAATCTCCATCTAAACCTGTCTCTCTTTGCCCTGAGAGAGCACTAGCAAAGGCAGAGTCACAGTTCCAGACACTGAATGGCTGTGCAGCAGGGATGGGGCAGAGGTCCTTTTGTGGCACCTCTCCTCTCAGATATATTCCTGATGGAGTGCAGTCTCCAGGCAGCGTGGAGATGAACCAGGTATCCATTTCAAGGTATCAGTGGTCCCTCAGTACCCTCTGATTTCTACTGAGAGCATACAGAGTCTTAATCTCCAAGACAGAGAACAGACATGTCATAGAATCTAACCCAAGCCGTGACCTAACTCTCCCCACAGGATATCATGAGAAACACTATAATCTGATTATATGGGAGAGTCAGAATAAATGATCAAACAGTCTTCTGGGATCTTCTGGAAAGTCTGAGCTGTTCTGGTGGAGCCTTCCACTGGTGTGGCAGGCAGGCCCATGTTCTCCTGACTTCATCAGTACTGATGAAGCTCCAGATTCACCATTTTTTCCAGTTTCTCCTACACAAACCTCTTTTATTCTTCCTTTTCCAGGTGGTGGACGTGCAGGTTGTGGTGGTGCCATGTGCTACAAGTGGCCACAGCCCAGCAGCATGCTGCTGCCAGGAGAGATGAAGAAAAATGCTGCTGCCAGCACTTGCAGCCCTGTGGCCAAGTTACGTTCAGGCCAATGTCACTGGTGCCTTGAAGTGCAGAGGGAAGGCAAGGGGAGTTCCTATTTATTCACAGCACATCTGAACTGCAATGGTGGGCAGTATGGAACTTCAAAGCAGTGAAAATGGCAATTCCTTTGGATTTTGGATATCTGGGGGTCCAGACCGATGTGCTCAAGCCTTGACATCAATTCAGTTCCTCATAACCAAGGCTCTGATCTGCGACTGACACTTGTAGACCACGCTGCATGGGTAAAAGGACTGACTTCTGGGACCATTTGGTCAAGAAGCTGGAAAAAAATTCACCAAGCTGTTGCATGACAGAAGCACCTGAAGTGCTGAATTGCTGTCCCTGTAAAACACTCCCAAACAAGCAGCCAGCCATAGAGAAATGATCTTTGGGAATTTCTGCTGCAGATTTCCTTGCAATCTAACACGATTGCTGAGAAACTGTCAAGGACAACACTAAGTTACAGGTCGCCCCAGATGACATTTCTTTTCAAATCTCGAGTTTCTTACTTCCTTCCCAGCTGCTCTTTGATGGGTCCTAAGGGAAGGAAGCCAATGCCTCAGTGCTCTATAGCTTTCCAAAGGTTCCATTTACAACTTCCATGCTGCCACCACTCACACTTTGTGTGTTTGTGCAAGGAAATCATCATTCCTATCTGCCCAGCTTTAGGCTGGGACCTCAGTAAAACCAGACCTGGTCAGAGGCACTGTGTACATCTGAAATGGCGGTTATTGGGAAGTGTTTTTATCCACATCATAATAAAATATTATCTTGTACTTAGATAATTTTGAATCCAAAGAAAGAAATAAACCACACAGTTTAATCAACAGACAGAACTGAATTTCAGTGCTCGTGTGCTGGTGTGTAAGAAAAAGCAATGATCAGGACTGGAAGGAACTGGAAAATCCAAGTCTCAGAATAACAGTTTTACACTCAACAGGTCATATATAACTGCCAGCCTTCCTCCCTCAGTGCCTGGCGCAAAACCCATTAAAAATAGCATAATGTGGAGAGTAACAGCTGCTTCTTTTTCTAGAAAACCTTTTAAACAAGGTTATGATGCACTTTTCCTGAACTAAAAAAATAAAATAGAACCATTTTGCTGTCAGAAAGGAAAACAATGTTTCATTCTCTTGTAACCAGAGAGAAGTCAGTTTGGACAGCACTGAGAAAAATAGCTATGGCCATTGTAAATAAGGACTTTATTGAATTACAGGACTTGAAAGATAGTTTTGAAGGGTTAGCCAAGCTTTTCCCTACACTAAATAAAATTAATAACATTTCCAACCTCAGTAAGAACAGCATGGGTGGGAAGTGATAGTCTATCCAAAGCAGAGAATTCTTTACAGAATTTGATCACTTGCAGAAGGAAAGGAGGGTGGAGGCGATCTGCAGTTAAGCCAAGAAAAACAATAAAATTTTCTCAGAGAATAGCAGCTCAGAAAACCAAGATGATAATTGAGGATTATGCAACATATTGATGCAAATGTGGTGGTAAACCACTATGATAATCAGTATGGATAAAAAAATACACAACTCATAAAGAATTGCCAGCTGAAAAAAAAACGGCACCAAAAAACTTTCCATTTCCTTCTAATTCAAGATACTAATTTAACTACCATCTCAGATTCTTCATAAGTCAATATTCATAAAGCAGACTGGAGTTTCAGCCCCCAGAGTTTATATTTTTATTTGTTTATATTTGTCACATAGCTGACCCACAGCAGTAAAATGTCACATTCCCATTTGCTATCTTTAGGGATCTCAGAAAAGGCTGACAAGGTAGATTGAAATCAGTGGAAACAGAAGTAGCTTCCTCAAGCTGTATTTCACAGAGCCTGAAAGAAAGGGCAGGCATCATTTCAAAGAACATATTTGCTGGACCAAGTGGCAACAAGCCTGGATGTGCTTTATCTAAAGTTATGGGACAGACTGTATCTGTTTATGTGGGACAGACTGTATTTGTTTTATGCAAATATTTTGCATAAAGGATGAGATATTTCTCAAGGCAGAGAAATAAGAAAAAAAAATAAAAGAAATAAGAAAAAAAGTTTACATTATAGACCAAAAATTACCTCCTCAAAATAGTATCTATATCCATAAGAGGCCTAATACTAAGATGCTGAGCCAATAGCATCAGATGAGGAAAAAATGGGGGCACAAAGCTTGTGCCTTGCTGTTACAAGAAAAATGTGCATTCTCCTCTGCTGAGACTAAATAACTGATAAGAACCAGCAAAATATTTTGTGCTGCTGTTTGTGATATTTAACTGTAACATCTTGCTTATCTCAGTTTCAAGTGGCAGGATAACATTTCTAAAACATGCAGAGGCAGCAGATTAGCATTGCAAATGCATGAAAGGACACAGTAGTTTATTCTAAGCCACCTCACAAAATTATATTAATGAGCAAAGACTGTATCCAGTTATCTTTGAATAACATGAGATCCCTTATGTTTTCACTGGCTCCAGGGTTTTTGTCCAGCTGGGTCTGAAGCACTGGTGATGCAGTTGTGCTCACACCGAGTGGAAGTGCACTGACTGAAGCCCACACAGGGAATCACTGAAAATCTACATTAGATTGTGCAGAAAACAGCAACTGTGATCAGCAGCTTCACTTCTTCTGTTCCAGACACATCAGACCATCACGGTGGCACCATATCATTTCAAGGTACTACTGCAGTAATTTTTTCTCACTAGCGGAGATCACCAGGCATTCAAATGGCAATCTAACATGGGCTGAAACACAATTAATTTTGGGTTTTTTTAACAAACTTCACTCCCAAAGGGGCTCTGATTTGCCATAGCCTATACACAACTCCCACACGACGCCTTCAGAGAATTAAAAGGCCTCGGGATGTGTTTGACCCAGCAGCAGCAGCAGCACAGAACAGATGGTGGCTCCTGCTGAAGCAAAGCAGCGCTGTCTCTCCAGCCCCTCGGCACGGGCTGATCTCCGCTGCCCCTGCAGCCCCAGCACGGAACAGGCTGGCACTTTGTCCGAGACACTCATCGCTGCAAATCCGCTTCCCTCCCGTCCCGCTGGGGCTAATTTAAACGCTGAACTCTCGGTTGCAGTTCACGCCGTGCTGGAGATGGGCTCACCTGGGCTGCGCCCGGCGCCGCTGCGGAGGAGCCGCCGCAGCCAAAGGTGGGGCAGGAGCCGAAGCGGCCCCGGGGGTGACCTGGTGGCCAGAATTAGGTCACCTCAGTGCCACTGGGAGCCAGCTGCCAGGGCCACTCACACGTCTTTGCCAGCCCTCTCCCCAGCGCCCTGCCCTTCTGCAGGGATGTCCCCCCCACCCTGCCTCGCCTCCGCCCGCTCCCAGCTCTCCTTCCAGCAATCCCATCAAAGCTGGGCAATCAAACCCCTCCCAATGACCCCAGCTTTGTGCACCCTGGCCTGCTATCATTTCTTCTAAATTCAAACCACAGGCTTTTCCCCCATCAGCTTCTCCTCATTCACTTTTTTTAATGATAAAGAGATTACTCCAGAATTATTTATAGCATCCTGATGATTCAATTGGCT